AGAAACCCACAATCCGAGGCATCTTCAACTCCTTCCTTGTAAATTTTGAAGGCTTCCACTAAGTAATGCTACCCCCCCCCCCCCCCCCCCCCCGCTTAGAATTTTCCTGTGGTCACCTTTTGTTGTCTCCCTTGCCTTGTTTTCTTCATTCCTGCAAGGCAGACTTCTCCAGAGAAGAAAACACTTCCAAGAAAAGGGACATTTGGGCTAAACAGTCCAAAGTATTTCACCCTTTTAAACAGAAACATTTGGGGTTTTGATTGTTTTGAATAGAATATTCTCAAATGCCTATTAAAATATCATTTATGGAAAATGTAGTCAAATTGAATGAGTTTAAAAGAAACAAAAAGACATTTCATCTTAGTAGAAGCTCAGCTGAAACTTCCTCATGGTCACTAGGTAGTACCCTGTGAGCACTGCCCATATGCAGACGTGGAGGTCTCTAAGCTCCATGGCCTAGACTGCTGTGCCGTTCAATTTCCCACATCTGCCATCTGTGCTTTTGGGTTATTTTGTCAGGCTGTCAGCTGACATTTCTTATAGCTGTTAGTCCATTTGCTTGTGGCCTTTGCCACAAGTGGATGGAACCTCAGTAATAGCTAATTTGCTGTGGTTGGAAAGCAGGTTAAGTGTGCACTATATGTGTACCTAAGAATGAACAGGCAGAGGGGCAGAGGAGGGCTCCCGTGGACAGCATGCTTTGTGACAATAGGGTTGGGCCCTTTTAGCTTACTGCTCTGGAGTTCCTGATTCCATTCAGGTTGGCCATCCCTCCCAGCATATACCAGTAACCTTCCACTTCCAAAACCCACCTCCACATCCTCCCTCCATTCCTTTTAAGAATCTCCAAGTTCATCTTTGTATATTCAGTCACATAGTCCATCCTCCTCTCCTCATTCCTTGGAAAGTTTGTCTACAAATGATCACGCACATATGCTTTTAGGTCATGCCTTCATTTTGGTGGCTTCGTATCAGTTTTATACATTATCTAATGACTTCCTGCTTTGGATGAAATGAAATACAGCCTTTTCAGCCCTTTGCCCCATCCCTACCACACACGTCTTTCCCT